CAGTGAAGAGAGTTGCCCCACTGTGGTCAATACCTAAGGCTCTGTCCCTTACTTCGTAACTAGTGTGCTGAGACAAAAAAAAAAATATGGTCCAAATGAAAGAAGAGATCAAAGCTCCAAAAGTAGAACTAAGTGATGAAGAGATAGCCAACCTATCAGATGCAGAGTTTAAAACACTGGTAATCAGGATGCTGACAGAAATGGTAAGTATGGTCACAAAATAGAGGAAGAAGTGGAAGCTATACAAAGTGAAATAAAAGAAAATGTACAGGGAACCAACAGTGAAGGGAAGGAAACTGGGACACAAAAAAGGATTTGAACTAGAAAGAAGGAATAAACATTCAACCAGGAAAGAATGAACAAGAATTCAAAGAAATGAGGAGAGGCTTAGGGGAATGGGGGAAAAGGTACGGAGAATAAGCAGCATAAATGGTATGTACAAAATAGACAGGGGGTGGTTTAGAATAGCATAGGAAATAGAGAAGCTGAAGAACTTATATATATGACCCATGGACATGAACTAAAGGGGGGGAATGCAGTGGGAGGCGGGGTGCAGGATGGAGGGAAATAAAGGGGTAAAAATGGGACAACTGTAATAGCATAATCAATAAAATATATTTTAAAAAATTATTCAGGGAGGGAAAGAGAAGGTGAGGTACAGCTGGAACAAATTGGCCATCGATGAGAATTGTTGAAACTAAATAATGAGTGCATTGTAGTTCATTATATTATTCTTTTACTTTGCAATATTTGATATTTTTCCACAATTAAAAAAAATCCGATATTCTCTTTTCTGAGAAGACTTGCTCTAATCTCTCCCTACACCTATGAGAATTAATTGTGCTCAGGATTATTCTCCTACCATTCAAATAAACTAAAAATTCATTTATTGCCAAATTTCATCCTCTAATTTGGCCTAAACTTTTGAGAACTAAGAGTGTGTCTTATTCATTTTTCTATGTTTTGTATTTCTGCCACCAACCACAAAGTCAAGGTGCTCAATAAATAGTGGCCAACTGGCAGCTCTCTAGCTCCAATTCACCAAAGTGCTCTTGATAAAGAGGTTGACTCTATCATATTGAATCAAATTTCTAGTTAGGTGACGTTTCCTTCTTATAAATGTATTCTGAAGGGGCCAAAAAAGTCCTACACTCAGGCAATAAAACTGTCAAGACAAACCAGGAACCCAGCAGGGAGGGGCAGGGTCAGCAGTACTGAAATTGTTTTATAGTTCACTATGTACTTCTCAGGTAAATATTGCACTGTGACCTTTGCAAAGTTCTTCTGTCCTGCCCTGCCCCCTCCCCTTTCTCAAAGAGGGATCCTTGTGGCTAATTGGGCCTAAAATCATGCCAAGAGTTTGGCAGCCATTGCTGACAGAGGCCCCTCATGTACACTGTACACCAGTGAAAAGCCACAGACTGAGCAGCCAAGCCTCATGGACCAAGTTACTGCTGTCTAAGCAGACTCTTACAAAGAAGTTCCTAGAATTGCCTCTCAACAAATGGGCTGAGATCTGCCCCAAACAATCAGAGCTTTGAAACGATTTCCTCATTTGCATCTTTACTGACCAATCACAGCAGCTCCATAATGACCAATCAGGACAGTGCTATTAGAAGCAAAATGAATAAATAATCATCTGCTCTTCATTCTGAAGAACAGAATGAAGAAACAAGAATTCAAAAAAATGAGGAGAGGCTGAGAAACCTCTGGGACAACTTTAAACACTCCAACATCCAAATCATAGGGGTGCCAGAAGAAGAGGAAGAGCAAGAAATCGAAAACTTATTGAATGAATAACAAAGGAAAACTTCCTCAATCTGGTGAAGGAAATAGATTTCCAGGAAGTCCAGAGGGTCTGAAAGAAATTGGTCCCAAGGAAGAAGACTCCAAGACACATCATAATTAAGTTACCCAAGGTTAAAGATAAGGAGAGAATCTTAAAAGCAGCAAGAGAAAAGGAGACAGTTACCTACAAAGGAGTAGGGGATAGTTTTACCTATAAAACTATCAGCTAATTTCTCAAAAGAAAACTTACAGACAAGTAGGGGCTGGAAAGAAGTATTCCAAGTCATGAAAGGCAAGGACCTACATCCAAGATTACTCTAGCCAGCAAAGCTATCATTTAGAATAGCAGGGTAGGTAAAGTGCTTCACAGATAAGGTCAAGTTACAAGAGTTTATCGTCATCAAGCCCTTATTAAATGAAATGTTAAAGGAACTTATCTAAGAAATAGAAGAAGATTAAAAACTACAAACAGCACAGTGACAACAAACTCACAACTATCAACAACTGAACCTAAAAAGCAAAAACAAAAACTAAGCAAGCAACTAGAACAGGAACAGAATCACAGGAACAGGAGACCACATGGAGGGTTATCAGTGGGAAGAGGGAGGGGAAGAATGGGGGAAAAGGTACAGGGAATAAGAAGCATAATAGGTAGGTACAAAATAGACAGGGGGAGGTTAAGAATAGTATAGGAAATGGAGAAGCCAAAGAACTTATATGTAGAACCCATGGGATTAACTAAGTGGAGGAGGAATGCTGGAGGGTGGTAGGATGCAGAGAGGAGGGGGATAAAGGGGATAAAAAATTTGGGAGAAAAAAAAGACAGTGGTATTTGGACCAATCAGACTGCAAAAATTCGGATCTTTTTTCTTATAAAAATGGACCAATCAGGGACCAAGGCAGGTGCTTTGTCTATTAAAGTCAGCCTCTCCCACAACCCCTCTTTTCTGGCCTCCCCTTTGTCGCCTCTGGTTTTCACTTGAGGGTGCCTTCCCTATTTGCAAGCTGTTTACTTGAATAAAGTTTCTCCATTAACTGCACCCCAGGTTGGGGGACTCCCGTTGGCATTAAATTGGTGGCAGCAAACTTTTGTTGACAACCTCAAATAAGATACCATAATGCATGTGAAAGTGCTTTTTAAAAACTGGAAAGCAGTACAAAATTTAAAGTATAACAGCTTTTTTCCAAAGCATTGAGACATCTCAGAATTCATTTTAGCTATTAGAACAATTGACTTTGGATGAAATTGTTTAGTAGGCAAAACCTGTTTTGTAGTTACATATGCATACATATACACACATATATACATGTATATGTATATATCTTCTTTCCTTTCCTTTCACTATAAATATACACATTTGCACCTATTATATGTGCTAGGCACTAGTGACACAGAGTGAGGATCACCCAGATGCCCAGGACCAATCCTCACAGGCCACCTACTCTTTGACTATTTTTAAATCTTTATATACCTTCCATCCCCTCCCCCAGATGCTCCTTATTCATGCTGTTCAATGATATGATTGATTAATTTATTAAGTTATTTACATGCATATATACCTGTACTTTGCTGTGTGTAATGCACACCCATGTTCTTGGCCCAAACTTTCAGAGGAAAAAATATTTTTATTTTTTAATCCATTATTTATTTATATTTAGATACTTCATTTTTGTATTATAAAGGAATTTTACCGTTTATTTTTTAACATATTATGGTACAAGAAATTTTCTGTAACAAATAATTACAAAACACAAAAGCAGATACAAAGATACAAGAAATTTTATGTACTGGTAACAAATTAGTACTACCCACATACAATGCATAATGCACATCTTTATTTTTCCCTCGATAATTTGAGGGGGGAGTGACCATTATACATGGCAAAATATGGTACATGTTATCTTTTTAACTAAGAATTTTACAAATAGTCCTGACTGGTGTGACTCAGTGGATAGAGTTTGAAAAGTTCTCTGATCTAATTCCCAGTCAGGGCACCTGCCTGGGTTCCCAGCCAGGTCCCCAGTTGGGGACATGGGAGAGGCAACTGGTTGATATTTCTCTTCCTCTCTCTCTCCCTTCCTTCCCCTCTCTCTAAAAATAAACAAATAAAATCTTTTAAAAAAGAATTTTACAAATAAACTCTTAATTGGAGGTTCCTAATTCTGGGGATATTTTTATTTTACAAATGTGTTCTTGGAGAGCACATAATTATGGACAAGTGGTCTTTGAGTTCCTGTGGCAGTTAGAAGAAAATTTTAGGAGGCCCTACCAAGGATGTGTCCTCCAAGCTATTGATAGGGTTTTAAGTCAGGCCATTTTAGATGGCGTTAAATAGGGAGTTGTTATAAGGGGGGATGTCTCCAATTAATACATTAAATTATGCATTGGTTTTATATGGCTTTCTGTATTTGTGTTATATTTAACAACATAACAGTTAAAAATAAATATCTCTTTCAACTTGTTTACTACTCACAACGAAAAGTGGCCGCAGGTGCGGGCCACTGGGAGGGTCGAGGTGAGCTGGGGCGTCCAGTCAGCGGCGAGGACTGCAGGTCCACTGCCTACGGCCCCAAAGGAACCATGCAGTCTGCCAGAGGGCAAAAGAATCAATAACAATAACAATAATGATAATAACAATTACAGTAATAACAAGTCCGAGAGACTCGCATTTCCAAATAGTAGTGACTACTACGAAGCGGGTCCCCGCGGACGTTACGCACATAGAGCTGCACCGGCAGCAGCTGCTGCGGCTCTCGTGGTGCCCCTGACGGCCCCCTTCCTGTCAGGGGTCCGCTGGATGGGGCGGGGCGGGGCTGGAGGGGCGGGGCGCTGAGCCCGCGGCCCTGGGTGGGGAGTGGCGGCGGGGAGGGCTGGGGGGGGAGGCGGGGAGGGAGGCGGGGGGAGGCGGGGGAGGGGGGGAGGCGGGGGGGGAGGCGGGGGGAGGCTGGGGGGAGGCTGGGGGGAGGCTGGGCGGGGCGGGGTCGGGCCTCACAGCTCTTCACTCGCCGCTCTCGCAGCTCTGTATCCCGCGCTGCCGCTGCTGCTGTCGGAGTCCTGGCGGCCAGCGCAGTCCGCCGACCGAGGCTACAGCCAGGGGAGGAGCCGCGGCCACAGAGGTAAAGGCTGGGACGCTTATGGCGCGGCCTGAAACCCTAGAGCTCCTGGCCTGGTCGCAGGGTAGTAGTGAGGCCGGGCGGGGGATACGGGGGGGCGGTACGCTGAGGCTCGGGCAGGCGGGGCCGGAGCCTAGGGGCGGGGACCGGCCTGTCCAGAGGGGACTGCCGGATCGGCGGTGCGCTGGTTCGGCTAGTGGAGCCGTGGAAGTCGAGTTTTATGACGGTGCGGGCGCCCCTCCACGCCCAGCTCGGTCCCGGGCCGCGGCAGCCGGGGAGGTGTGGAAATCGGTTGCCCCGTGGGCGTCTACAGAGGAGGGAAGGCGGGGGACGGCCTGCTCCCTCCCACTTGCGGGTTCCTAGGCCAGTTCGCCCCGCGCAGCCCTCGGGAACTTGTTAACCGGAAAGCTTGGCACAGAAACAAATGCCAACGTTTTGGAAGAACTGAGAGTCACGTCGTTAGGCGTTGAGGCTTTATTTTCCTTCCCCGCCCCCTGCCCAACCTCGGCCCGACTTGGCCAAAGAAGGATGTGTCACCAGCTCGGGGCCTGGGGCGGGATCCCTGGCCCGGCCGGAGCGGGATTACCTGAAACAAAGGTAAACAGAGGCCGGGCCGACCACAGCCCGGCCGAGCCACGCAGCTGACCCTGTGCGGGGGTCTCACTTCCTCGCCCACCCCAGCTGCCGCCTCCGGAGGGGCTTTCTCCTGGGAGACCTCCGGATGGAAACCAGCTGCATCTGAACTCTGTTGTGCTCACATTATGCTCAATCCTCCGACTCCGGTAAAGCTTAAGGAAATTTTATCCAGTTTTCGTGGTCAGCAAATGTAAGGGAGGATAAATTGCTCTTTGTAAATTATAAGGTATTTTCTTATTAGGAAACGGTCTCAAAGCACGAAATAAAAATTCTTAACACTTAAGCAGGAAAGCGTGATTTGTGGTGCTGAGCAAAACTGGAAGTGTTCCTTCTCAAATCATTTTTGTACAAAACAGCCCCCAAACCTTCAGTGCTAGGCATTTTTCTTTGTTCTTCATTAGTTTCAGGCCTCAGTTTCTTGTAAATAGAGCACCCAGTGCTGAGACCCTAAGAATTGCCATACTAGGTCAGAGCATGTGCATCCAGCCTAGTAGGCAGCAGGCTTGTGCTGTAGTAAAACTGTTTTCTTTCTTGGTGATGCCATTAAAAATGATCTCATTTTCATTTTTTTTAAGTTGTATCCATGGCTTTCAGTGAAAGCCTTTTAAAAACTTATAGATCACTCCTAATTTATATATACAATTTATTCACATTTATTGTATCCAAATGGCTCTCCTATCCTCTCTGGCAGAGAACTAACTTACAACATGAGATGCATGTGAGAAAAATTTGGATCTTTTATAGATCTGGGAACTCAGAAATTGAGAACAGGGGACATAAAAGTTAAGGTTTTCAAAAACACAGAACTTTACAGGACTAACCTGGTTGTTGGGTTCAAAAATAGCTTTATCCATTAACAACCTGAACATTAAGCAGTTAAAGATTTATTTGTATTTGTAAGTATTTGCATATTTTAAAATGCAGCTTAACATTCTGGAGTGTGAAGGGGCTATCAGATTTTAACCAAGGATGAATTAATTTGGCCTTAATGTTTAGCTGAAACCAGCTGCCCTAAGAGAATGAAAGTTTTGTTTCCGCAAGAAGGGAATAAAGGAGATAGTAATTTTGGAGTATAAGGTACTTGAGGGGCACCTGTTCAAGCCAGAACTCTGCCTTTAACCTCTTCAGAGGCTCCTCATAACTCCAGCAAACAGCCTTCATGGATGTGGTTCCTGCCACCTTTCTGTATGCAACTAAAGTTATGTGTACTTCCTCTCTAAAATTTCTTCACATCTGCTCCCTCTCACCGCCACCTCAAGTAGAAATAAATGGTCACCCTTTGGGGCATTATCATTCTCTTTAAATTAGAGGTTTTGTCCAGTACTATTGACATTTGGAGCAGGTAGTTCTTAGCTGTGGCGGTTTATCCTGTGAATTGTAGGGTGTTTAGCAGCATTCTTGACATCTACTTAATGGAAACCACTGTTACTTCCCACCCTGTCCCCACCCCAATCATGACAGTCAAACAGTCACACAACCCACACAGTTGTGACAGCCAAAAATGCCTCCAGACATTGCCAGGAGTCTCCTGGGAGGGCCCAGATCTCCCTTACCAGTGAACCGCTTTTTCTAAACAGACTGCAGCCTTAACACCAGTGACTGCATTGTCCTCATTTGCTTATGTGTTGATTTCATCTATTATGCTAAGCTTGAAGGCAGGAGCAGTCTTGTTCATTTATTTGACAAATATCTGAGGTAGGGCCTTCTTTCCCAGCCAGACACTATATAGGTCTGGGAATCCAGTGGTAAAAACAAGTGATATGGTCTTTACACTCCTGGATATTAGTCTGAAGAGTGAGAGAAGCATGCATGTGTAATGCTACAATTACCACATTATAATTGTGATCAATTCTGGGAGAAATACAGGATGCTCTGAGTATATAAAACAGGGGTCCTGACCTAGTTTGGAAGCTAGGACAGTTTCCTTGGGAAATGAACTCAAGATGAGTTGGACTCTAAAGAATAAGTAGAAGTTACAAGGTGAAGCTTACAGGAACAACATTCCCAAAGAAGGAACAGAACTTTTCTGGGAACTCAGAGGCCAGTGTGGCTGGAGCATAGAGAGTGATAGGGGCAGAATGATATAAAATGAAGCTGGGAAAGTAAGTGAAGGCAATCTCAAGCAACAGTTCTCGCTCGGTTCAGCCTGCTCATTAGAATCATAAGAGTAACTTAAAACAATACTAGTCCTAGGCTGTCCTCCAAGCCCATTAAATCAGAATGTCTGCAGTGGTGCTACTCCCTTTCCTCCCCAGCTGCAATTTTCCTCACACCTTCCAAAGGGATGACCACTGTAGTTTCCAATAACTTACTGTAACAAACAGCTGGGACTCAGGTGGTAGCAGAGGAGATGGAGAGAAGTAGATGGATATAGGAGATATATTTAGGAGGTGTATATCTAGACACTTTCTGTGTACATTCAAGCAAATGCATATTCTTTCCTCCTGTTGACACAAATGGTGGCATACTGTACACACTATTCTGTTCTTTGTTTTGTTCTCTGAACAGTGTCTTGGAAATCTTTCCATTTCAATATATAGTTTACTTATTCTTTTGTTTGATTGTGTAATATTCCATTGTCTAGAAATTGTTTCCAGTAATTTACTATAACAAACAGTACTATGCTTATACCAGTTCACATGTGTGAATATGTTTGTAAGATAGAGTCCTAGAACTGGAATTGTTGAGTTAAATGTGTATATACACATATTTGTAAATATTTGTATTTGTAAAACATCACTGTGGTCCTACTGGCCAAAAAGTTTTAGAAGGAAACAACAGTGAATGTGGGAGACAAATGACCCTAATTAAGGTCATTGTGTGCTATAGAATGAATTGTGTCTCCCCGAAGTTGATATTTTGAAGCTCTAACCTCCAGTGTAACTATGTTTGGAGATAGTCTTTAGAAGGTAATTAGGTTAAATGAGGTCATCAGGATGAGGCCCTAATCTGATCAAATTGGTGGCCTTCTATGAAAATAAGGGAAGAAAAGCCATATGAGCACACAGTGAGAAGTCAAGAAAAAAATCCTAACTAGAAACTCACCCTGCTGGACGGTGATCTGGAAATTCTATAAATTTCTGTGGTATAAGCCACCCAGTCTATGGTATTTTGTTTTAGCAGCCTCAGCCAGTAAATACACTGTGGAAAAGGAGGAGAGAAAAGATGGTAGGTGGGATCAAGGTGGTAGCAGAGGAGATGGAGAAAAGTAGATGGATACAGATGTGGCACAAGCAGTGAGGGGGAGAAATTAAGTGTATAGGATGACTCCCTGAGTTCTGGCTTGCCCAACCAGGTGAATGGTAGAGTTGTTGGCTGAGATAAAGAGCAGTGAAGGATAAAAAGTGTTAAGGTGGGTTTAAATCACATTTCACTTTGGGACTGGTGAGACCTTCAATTGGAAATGTCTCATAAGCATCTGATAATTGAAATTCAGAGCCCAGAGGAGTGGGCTGAACTGGGGACACAAGTTTTTAGGTGTAAATTGAAAGGTGTGGATGGAATTACCAAGAGCAATGGTTGTAAACCTGCAGTTCACAGCTTATCTGGTTTACAGATGTGTTTTGTTTTTCCAATACAGTGGTTTTTGTTGTTGTTTAATTTTGAGTTAGTTCCCATGAAAATCCAGATTTGGGATTTTTCTTTAAAAATGAGAGGATGTGGCTCTACTGAGCCAGCTTTCCCATATGGCAACAATTGATTGGTGCTAAGTCACAGCTGATCCCAGCTGCTTTCTAGTTCACCAAAGAGCCCACAACTCCCTAAAACTTATGCTTGGCCTGCTTTGCTTATTTACTTCTCTGACTCTGAGGCATTGGAGTGTGTGGTCTCTGCTCTAGGAAGAGTATAAAAACAGTGATTCTCATCTTGGCTGCACATTGGAAACACTGGACAATTAAAAATTACTGATGCTGGGGCTCACCCTAGCAATTTCTGTTTCTGCTTACTTGGTCCAAATTATAACCTGGGATTTTTAAAATCTCCTTACCCAGTTCCACTGAATAGTGGAAATTCTGAACCATTGATGGAGATTAAGAAGAGAATAGGATTCAGGATTTGCGTGGGAGGGTACCATAGTCCTAGGAAAGTGATGAGAAGTAGACATAGAGGTACAGTGGAATGGCCCCATGCTTGCAGTTAAGGCATGCAGACTTAACCCAATACACTTGAAGGTGTTTTAATTAGTTGAGAGAGTGAAGTTTTATTTTGCATCTATACTTACTGTTTGTTTTGCATTTATACATATTTGCTGTTCATTTACCGCATAGCGTTATATACATAAATAACAGGTGTACTTTATTTCATGAGCCATTTCAAGAGTAACTTAAACTATGCTTGATTTTTGTCTTAGGTGCTTATTTCAGAATCTAATTCTGGTTTAAATATGTCATAAAAGTCAAGAGAAGAGAGTATTTAAACAAATAGGAGTTATCAAGTAAAGATGTAGACTGAAAATGTTCTGTTGAATTTAGCAAGATGAAGTGTTTGCCTTCAGCAGGCACCATTTAAATGGGACGAGGCAGAAACCAGACTGAGATGGGTAAAACGAAAGAAAATGGAAATGTTAGAAAAATCTTTTGAGAAGTTTATTTGAAAAGGAGAGTGGTGAGGGAGGGGCTGGTATCTAACATATCTCTGTGATAGGTGTTCAGAGTGTGTTGGTTACCCAAACACTTCTAACTTTTTAGGGAGGTGATTCAGTGGTACGTAATTACCCCTCTCCTCCATTTCAGAGGGGTCTTGCTTGTATTTGTTTTGGAGACTTAGTGTTTTTCACTAAGGAGATTATTTTGCCTGAACCCTTAAGACTCAGATGTTGGAAATTATGCCCTTAGTCTCTTATCTGGAAAGCCACAGGGCTCCTAAAGGCCAGCAGTGATCTGGGCTGCAGTGATCCTGACATCATCCTCCCATTGAACTGATGAACAAAGACCAGACTGTTGGCATGTTGAAAATGGAAT